CTAATACAACAATAGTTATAAAAATATTTACTTCCACAAAAATCAATTATTTTCTATAGGCACATTACGCGAAGTTTGTCCAAATAGCTAGTTAATTAGAAATACATTCTTGCTACTTAAGTTAATTACTGGTACAGTAGTTACGACAGACGGACTGACAGATCCACTTACTTGATTGGACCAACTTGATTTACTCTGACCAGACAATCTTTATGCTCCCTTAGGCTTCTACGAACTTATTTGACATTAGTACCGTACCAAAATAATTGCTAGTTGAGTTATTTCGGACTTGATTTAATTCTTTATTGATTCGTTAGTAGATTCTCAAATCTCAATTATCTAACTCGAATACGATTATTGATCAAAAGTTTCTTTTCGTGTTTTCGGTTTTCCTCAAAAACTTCAGAAGATAATAATAAGATGTAGCGTACCTGTGTGATTAGGCTCACCCCCTAATAACATGGGATTCATTACATAACTGGTGGAAATGGGTATTAAATACCCACTCTGCTTACCGTTTTGAGGAATAAAAGGGGTTGTTATGTATGTTTCAATGTTCATTTTTTTTAAATTGTTGCACTTGCAACGCACTACGATTTTCTCCTGTGTCATATGTGCGTTTACAAACATACAAGTTCACATATACATCACACCCAGACCCGAAACAACAATTTGTGGATCACATAAAGTGTTGTTCCGTGCGGGAATCGAACCCGCGACACGTTGCACGGTAGCCGGTTGCCCAGCCACCGCACCAACCGTGCAGTCATTGAATTAACTTGATTTTTTCTGGCCGGACAATCCTTTGTAGTCCCACAGGGTATTCTCTTCAAGATCAAATTCGAGAAGTCGTGTAAGGGTGACGCACATGCGCACTACTTAATCAACGACATAATCGGTATTATAAACATAAAATTAAAGAAGCGCCAAATTAAAAGTACCTTAAAACGACAAGCATCCCGGGTGTACGGCGTTCCGCGTTCCGCGCCTCAAAGAGCCATCGACCACCACGGATGGGGCCCAATAGGGCTGATGCCGATACGGAGCCGCGGAGGACTTAACGGGTTGCTGGGGCTCGGGCTCAAAGGGCAGGAGTAGAAACGGGGTGGTTTTTAGTCAGTCTGACACTCCCTTCCACCTAACTCAGGCGGGAGCAGCAGTCATTCGATGATTTTCCCCCTTAAAAAAAACGACGAGCATGCATGAAAATACTAATGACTGTACCTCGATGAAGCGAAATAAGTATGTAGGAATCGTAGCAATAGGCGTTCCATAGTCACTGGCCACCCCCTTGGACGACAGGCCTGAGGTTATATAATGTATGTATGTAAAAACAAAAGTTTATGGACTTCTAAAAGGTCCATCACAGATTTTTAGTGCATAACAGTTTTCATAATTTGAGTCCCTGAAGACGGACGTTACCTACTTGTGCACACTGTAAACAATTATTAGTGTATCTAACACCTACTTGTATTTTACAACCAAGTTCTTCGTCAAACAGTTACGTGAGTAACCGAAAAACATGATAATTTATTTATTTACAATCAATTGCGTTATAAGTGTCGTGTATCGACACACAATCCCAAGACCCGACCCATTATTTACTAAAAAAATCGAAGACTTAAAAGCTCAATACTACTTAGTGCGACCGCACTCCGACTTGAACCCGAATTTTGGGATAACTCGACCAGTTATCGTTTTTAATAATCATTCATTTTATTCATTGAATATCAATTTACATTGTGACATGATTCACTTCCACCCAGATCCTAATTTACACAATCCATCCAAATTCTTTAGTCAACCACATACAAAAGATTCCAAAATACGGGTCTATGACGAATGCTCACCGATAACGGCATCATTGTTCGAAAAAGCAATTAAGAGAATTAGCCCGTAGTAGAAAATTGTATAAGCACAATGGCAAACAATAGAAAAATGCTGAAAGCTTGAATGCAAAGTTGATTACGAGTGCGTAAGAGAACAAAATGTACTTGGTACTTACAAGCGTATCTGATTTGGAGATAACGTCCACGTGACTAGTCGATGCGTCACAAAAACGTGTAAGCTAGTAGATAGGTACTTTACTACCATGGTGTGGTGGTATTCCGGCATCCTAATTATGTGAAAAATGTGCGCCGGAAACGATAGATTTGAAATCAAAAGAAATTATGCTTCCGAAGTGCCAAGATTATTTTTAGTAACAGTGAAGTTATGCGGTAGCTACTATTTTTAAACGATTAATTTGCTGTTAGACCATTTAAGCAGTTATAATATAGGTTCCTACTAAAACTACTTACAGCTCCCCTGGTGATGTTGTTTCCAAAAAATTTACAGCTTTTTTAAAGTTATCTTTTTTTACTTATAGATACCAAGGAGATTGGAATACTTGTTACTTTAGGTTTTAGATACAAAAGAGCTACTCTTGTACATCTAAAGCAAACATCTCCTAGGTATCAGAACCCTACTTCCTAGAACCCTTCAAGAAAAACATAAAATGTGGTACCTAAATACATTGTATGTATCTTCACTCTTCAGACATCCAAATGACTCACAAGCTTTCATTCTATTAACAAGATGAATGTAAATCAAGGGACAACGGAGATTTAACCTACATATTCACAGCTATGTATAGGACGAGTGAATCAATCCTACAATTGGCGTGGTACTCCCAAGTTGTCGCCATTTATGTCATCATCATAATAGCCAGGAAACGTCCTCCGCTAAGTATCGGGGCTCCCTCGTAAGTTCAAATAAAGTGGCCATACTTCGAGCCAATGAAGCACTTACACTTAATGTTAACTTTTAGATAATGAAGTCGTTTTTGCAAGCCTTTTAGATTTTTTAATCAATTTCTAATTGCGATAGGTTTTCAAATGTTTTGATTTGCCAAAATAAAACCCATGCCCTGAACAACTATTAGGAGGATTGATAAACACATAGGACTATTCTGTGCAGGAATCTAATGAGGGGCACGTTGCACTGGAGCGGATTACCCGCAGCACTCCTCCAACCTTGCAATTAGTTTTAATCAAGCAATCAAGCCGACTAATAGCAACGGATCGGGAAGAATGGCAACGAAAAATTAATTTTTCTCGTCAGCTAAATGAGATTTCCTCATATAACCCGGGAAAGAACCTGTCACTTTTAATATTTTGGATGATGCGATGACTCGTTCGCTTCCAACTTCTGTGTGTCATCTAACAACCGACATTGTCGCAATGAATTTTGTAAATCTATTAAGTTGTATTGCGTATATTCGAATTCCCCGACGACGGATTTAGGATACTTTTTTATGATAAGCCGGCAACCAAACAAACGGAT